TCTTGAACCAGCCTTGTGTTCTTACAGATGAATTCCACTTGGTCATAATGCATTCTTTTTCTTCTTTATTGTCGGAGAGTATGTGCACTTGCCAGAGAGAAAGAGAGGAGAGAGAGAACAGAGGATTGAGAGCCCGCATTAGGGTGTGGTCATGCTGCAGTCCCCTTCCTTCCATTTCTCCCTCCTATCCGGATTTGGGGCACTTACAGTCATATACTCAGCATGTTTCTCAAGCCACCAAACCAGGACTTGAACCACAAGTCAACCACCACGTGGGACACTCCCTTAAACACTTTGCTACAGGGCTGGCCCTGTATTATTCATTTTATATATTATTACTAGATTAAAATTAATAGTATTAAGGATATTTTTTAAACCTTTGCTGTTATGTTTTGTATTGACAAATGATTGTATATAGGCAATACAGTATAAAGTTTTGATATATGCATATATTGTAAAATTGAATCAAGCTACTATATTTCTTACCTATTTATCATTTTAATAATAACAATAACAATAAGTTAAATTAATCTTTAAAAACAGACATATACAGTACCTTATCATTAACTGTAGTCACCATGCTGTGCAGGAGATCACTAAAAGTTACCCTCTAATTTAAACTTTGTAACTTTTTACCAACATCTTCTCTTTCCCCACCCTACCCCCTCCTTAAAGATTTTTATATCTTGTATTCACGAAGGCTACTATGTTATAGTTTATAATATATTTGTCTTTGTTGGTGTAATGCTGGCTTTATAAAATGAGTTGTAATTGTTTCCTCCTAAGTTTTGTGTTAAGTGTGTGCATAGAATTGATGTTATTTATTCCACAAATATTTAGTAAAATTCATCAGTGGAACTGATTGGGCTCAGGAGGTTTCTTGGGTTTTTTGTTTGTTTTAATTTTTAAGTCATTGGAAAGTTTTTATAAAGAAGGCTGGTGTGACTACCCTTCTTTTTTTTTTTTTTTTTTGAGAGAGAGATTTTTGCTACAAAGCATATGTGCTTCCTGGGGAGACAGAGACACAGAAACTGAGAAATTACTCCCCTGTGGGGATGGCTGTGTCACAGTCCCTTCTCCTCTATTCTTCTCTTGGGATTTTGGGCATGCAAACACACGTGCCCAGTGTGAATTTCAAGCCATGAGGTCTCGTACATAAACAGTCCAGTGCCTTGATCACTATTCCTCCTGCTAGTCTCATATGTTAATTTTTAATTTGCCAGAATGCACATGCAGTAGCCAGAGAGAGACAGAGATAGGGAAAGCACTTCCCCCATAAGGAATGGTTAGGCTATAATCCCTTCCCCATTTCTCCCTCCTTTTGGAATTTTGGGCATACACACAAATGCCCTTGACATGTTTTTCAAGCTGCTAGGTCCAGAACTCAAACGAGATATTTACCCATATGGGTTCTAGTTCCCTTAGCCACCACTCAGGCAGGTCCATTCTGATTTTTTTTTTTTTTTTTTTTTTTTTTTAGGGGAGGCCATTTTGTTTTTTTTTTTTTTTTTTTTTTTTCTTAAGAGAGGTTTTTGCTATAGGATGCAAAGAGACAGAAAGTGAGAAATCACTTTCTGGGGGTGCCCATACCACAATCCCTTCTCCATTTTCTTCTTGGGATTTTGGGCACGTACGCATATACTCCCAGAGTGAGTTTTTTGTTTCTGCTTTTTAAAAAAATACTATTTTATTTAACTTTAATTTTTTTTTTTTCATTTGACCAGAGAGAGACACAGGGAGATAGAAAGTGAAAAAGCAATCTACCAGGTCCGGGACTCGAACCATGGTTGACTATGAAGGAGTCCAGTAGTGCAACCATTGTGCCTTCTACTGGTCCCAGAGTGAGAAATCACTCTTCAGAGGGGTGATTGACCACTTTTCGGTCCCTTTATCTCCATTCTCCTCTCAGGATTTTGAGCACACACTCACACACACACGTACCCATTATGAATTTTAAGCTGCTAGATCCAGCGACGTAACCATTATGCCATCTGCTGGTCCACTGACGTGAATTTTAATCTGCTGTGTCCAGGACTTGAACCACAACTGACTGTGTGAGAGGCCAGTGACATAACCATTTTGCCATCTGCTGATCCCTCAGGAGTTTTTGAATTCCGTTTCTTTAATTGATAAAAAATCATTTAGGGGAGACCAGCTGGTGGTGTGATGGTTAAGGTGCTGGTCACTCCCACGTGGCCAACCACGGTTTGAGTCCCGGACCTGGTGGCTTGCTTTCTCACTTTCCTTCTCTTTAACTCTCTGTGTCTCTCTCTAGCCAAATTAAAATAAATGAATGAATAAATACAATTAAATAATTCTTTAAAAAAAAAGAATTATTTAGGGACTGGCAGATGGCATGGTGGTTAAGGTGCTGTACTCCCACATTGCTAACCATGGTTCAAGTCCCTGACCCGGCAGCTTGCTTTCTCACTTTCCCTTTCTTGCTCTCGCTGTCTCTCTCTGGTCACATTAAAAAATGATGATAATTAATATAATTAAATCTTTTTTAAAAAAGAATTATTTAAATTATCTATTACTTTTTGAGTAAAATTTGACAGTTTTTTTTTTTAATTTTTTCCAAGAAATTTGTCCATTTGAGGGACCAGCAATTGGCATAATGGCTATGTCGTTGGTCTCCCATGTAGTTGACCGTGGTTTGAGTCCTGGACTCAGTGGCTTAAAGTCATGCCAGGTGCGTGTGTGTGCATGTCCAAGATCCTGAGAGGAGAATGGAGGAGAAGAGATTGCAGCATGGCCATTCCCCCTGGGGGGTGATTTCTCGCTTTCTGCCTCTTTGTCTCTCTATCTGGCGAGCACATACACCCTATAGCAAAAACCTCTCCCCCCCAAAAAAAATTTGTATGTTCGATCTAAATTGTAATTGGCAAAATGTTGTTTATAAATACTGCCATCCTACCCCCTTTTCAAAAAGAATTATTGGGAACCAGCAGTTAGCGTAATGGCTATGTCGCTGGATTCCCACGTAGTCGACCGCGGTTCGCGTACCGGACCCGGTGGCTTAAAACTCACGCCGGGCGCGTGTGTGTGCGTGCCCAAGATCCCGAGAGGAGAATGGAGGAGAAGGGATTGCGGCGTGACCATCCCCCCTGGGGGGTGATTTCTCGCTTTCTGTCTCTATGTCTCTGTCTGTCTGGCGAGCGCACGCGCCCTATAGCGAAAATCTCTCCAAAAAAAAAAAAAAGAATTATTTAAATTTATTTAATTATTATCATTATTCTTCACTTTGCTGTATGGCATTTGCACTTACCAGAGAGACAGAGAGAGAAAGTGAGAAAACAAGCCACCAGATCTGGGACTCGAACTGCAGTCAGCCATGTGGAAATCCAGTGCCCCAGCCACCAGGTCACCTGCTGACCCCTCTTCCTGTCCTTTTATTTTTTAAATAAATTTTTTAAAAAATAATTATTTCATTCAACTTCATTTATTTATTTACTGGTTTTTAAATTTGACCAGAGAAGGACAGAGTGAGAGAGAGAGAGAAAGTGAGAAAGCAAATTGCCAGGTCTGGGACTTGATCTGTGGTCAGCCATGTGGGAGTCCAGCGCCCTAACCACCCTGCCACTGCTGGCCCCTCTTCCTATTCTTTTAATGTCTATGTGATCTGTGGTGGTGACTTAAATCATCACCTTTCTTTAAATCTTGATATTGACAATTTATGTCTTCTCTCTTTTTTTAATTCCTTATAAAAATTGTTTTTTCAAGGAATCAGCTTTTGCTTTTATTGTTTTTCTTCATTGTTTTTATGTTTTGTATTTCATTGATCTTCTCAGTAATCTTTATATCCTTTCCTGTTCTTACTTGAGTTTAATTTGTTCTTGGTCATTTGTTTTGCAAACCTAACTGCCTCAGCCTTTCTGAACTTCAGTCGTGTCTCAGCTCAGTAAGACTGTTGGACTGTGTGTAAGTTTCCTTTCCCTA